TTTTTTATGAAATATCTTACAGCACAGCTCTTTAAAAACTATCATCCTGTGATCATGTTATTTCATACAGGATCTTAGCTTAGCTTTTCCAAACACTAGAGCACAGGATACATTCACATTTTACAATTTTCTAATAGTTTTAAACAAAATGACATGCCATTACATGCAAAAATGTTCTTTGAGTGCTGCGTTAAATGCCTCGAGTGCTGTCAGTTTGCAATGAGAGGTTGAATTGTAAATCCATCTCGCTGTTGTTCTCCATTTGAGTAGCTGGAGGCTTTTCCCAGAGAGAGAGAGAGACTAAGGACGACTGACTTAATTGAAAAGATGCCAATCAATAGTCGATTGGATCAATGCTCTAATTACACCAGCTAGATGACTCCACTTGCCTTTTATCAGTGGAAAACTGACACTCAGAGGGTCGAAAACAGGAGCAAAGATGGCCGTCATCAGAGAGGGCAACTTCAGAGGAAGAGCATCACTTCAAATAGATTGGAAGGGGGCTTTTTCAAGGCACTTTGCCATGAATTTTTCATCTGCATCTGGCTTTGAGGCAGATGGGGGAAGGGGAAGGCCAGTTGCGGGGCAAATCGAAAGCTTCTACACAAACCTGGGCTCTCGGAGCCAAAAGACAGAGAAAACAAGAGGGGGAGGGAGCTGACGGAAGGAAAGAAAACAAGACTATTATTTACAGAAGAGGAACAAAGAGCGGTTTATACTCCAGCCTTGTTTGGATGCTCCCGGTCTCTTCTCTTTAAGTAAACCGGGGCAGAGCAGGAGCTGTGATCTCTGGGACAGTGACAGCAAACCGAGTGGAGGATCCTGCTATTCTTGTCCTGTAGAGAGAAAGAAAGTGACTGCCAGATGCCCTCAGTGGGATGCTGTAAAAAGATAACAGTTCTGGCATCATTTCCTTACCCTCATGTTGTCAAACCTGTATGACTTTCTAATATTAACACCAGTTTAAATCTTCCTGTGTGCTGTAGCTCATTTGCACTTGTATACATTCAAATATAACACATTAAGACACATTGCTGCTTGTTCTTTATCAACGATGAGATGCACGAGAATCAATGGCATTTAACTTCAGTGATGTCAAACCTAGTGCAATGCGTCACGATCAAGCGGCAACCTCCCGCTCTCTCTCGTGAAGCCAACAAGGAAGTGACTTAAACTGTAATTCATCAACTGGCCGCTAGAGGCTGGCTGCAAAAGGGAGTCAATCCCATAGACTCCCCATGTTAAAATGCCCAACTTTACAGCAGAAAAAAACATGTTTACAGCCTGGTTCAAAAAACGGGTGACGTCACGGACACTACGTCCATGTTTTTATACAGTCTATGGTCACGATGCACCATATTTACAATGCCATGTTAAGTATTGGCACAAGAAGAACCAAATTAAGAAACCTCTGTGCATAATTTAAAATGTCTATTTATTTATAAAATACACAAATAATAAAATACATCTATAAATTTTATATATTTAGTTATTTTATTATTTGTGTATTTATATGTATTTAATTTCTGTATCATATTAGTTGCTAAATGTAATAAGACAAATAAATAAAGGAATAAATGACTTGTTAAAACAAATACAATTCCTTTTTTAATCCTAAATTAACTTTTGTATTACTTTTTTCCTTTATTAATTATTTTCT